ATCATTGAATCTACATAAATACGTGTTTGTCCGATAAAAGAATGAAACACTGTGTTGATATCAGTCATGGACTTTTTTCCGGGTACGAAATAACATGTATATTTGGTAATTAGTTATTACTTGCTAGATAAGTCCTGCGGAGGTTTTTACATAGAGTCCTGCCGTGATTACTTGTATAAATCAGTCTCACAGGAATTCCGTAAAGAAGCTCATATTCATTACAAGAAAAAACGATACTTAGCCTAGCGCTCATGATTTCATTATAGCAAAAAGAGAACATAAAGTTAGTTTGCTAATACGATGTATAACAAATAATCCTACACACAAGCAAAATGATCAATCTTTTCGTGATAGCTTTAAAGGAATCTTCCACGGAAAAAGCTCCGCCCTCATTACCACAGAAAACGATACCTTAAAGGAATCTTCCACGGAAAGAGTGATCATTTTGTCTTGTGTGTAGGATTAGTATTATCGAAACTAACGCTTATGTTCCGTTCTTTTTGCTATGCTCATGAGGCTAGGGGCCTAAGGGGTATCGTTTTTCTGTGGTAATGGAGGCGGAGCTTTTTCCGTGGAAGATTAAAGTTAAAGTTTCTCTTTTTCTAGACATCTAGATTTTCTAGACTTAAGGCCGGGAAACTAGTTGTCGCGTATCACGAAGACCGCTCCAACGGAACCCTGGGCGCGCCGGCGCCTGCGAAGTCCTGCAGACATGACCCAGCATGATCTATCCGTGATCGTGCGGAAACGCACGGGCCGTTCGCAACGGCACCATCACGGCCAGTCCCGGTGTTCCCCGTCTGTCGTCAGGTTCTGCCCCTTCGTCGTCGGTTCTGCAGACTCGCAGGGCGTTAGCCCTTAGAACTCTATTCTGATGTTATTCCTAGTTCAACTATTGTGGTCGATCGGCGGGTCGAGGAAGCGACCCGACGTGAGTTTAGTTTAGGAGTTACTAACATTACTTGTATTAATAGCTAGTTCATAAAATCATAAGAGTAGTTCAATATCATTAAACTTATATCTACTTGTGTTAGCGTTATGTAGCAATAAGGGTAAAACCCGCGCGCCATCTCTAGTAGCACGTAAGTCTACTAACTCGGTTTCATGATTGCCAAAGTTAGTTGGCTGGCCGTTAGGGTAGTTAGTTCATCTTCAAGTTAGTAGGCGCGGGGCTGCTAATGGTTGACTGTTTGCGCTATTGCCCTTCGTAATTCATCCGGGTTTTCCTCACAAGTGGCACTCAAGCCCTCTCCTGGACCCACCGACTCGCAACACCACTCCACTTGCTAACATTATTGTTCACCAATAGCAGTGGACTTCGTTGGCAGCAGCTCTCCGTGAGCGAAACATTTGCAGCCTCATGAGCTTTCAATGTTGCCTCCCAGGTTACTGTTCTCGAATCGGCGTAGCAATCCTTTGTTCTACGCATCCGAGCCAGTCGTGCTTTCGCGTGCGGTTTATCTGAGGATCCCACTTCTTGACACCACCAACAAAGTTGGCGGATCAAGCGATAGACGGGCGGCAAATCCTTGCAAAATTTAATGGTCTCAATAGCCTGTGGTCAGTCAGATCTCAAAATATCCTTTCGCCATAATTTCACTTCTTTTAGAGGCGATATTGAGGAACGGCCATTGTGGTCTGGTAGCACTGAAAGAGCTCCGCCAATTACCGTGCATTGCACTAAGCACTCTCTCCAATCGAATTCAGAATACACTCGTCAATGAGGATGGCAGGCTGACCAGATTTGTGGTTTTTTCTCAAGTATCTGGAACTCGGCAACCAAATAATTGGCATATTTATATAACGTTCGAACTTCTACTGTTCGTTCCTCATCGATTGTGGCTCATAAAAATTGAACAGTGGTTATACGAATACCTCCAGTGAACGATTTTTAGCTTCAAACGCTGCGAAATGCTACGACAGAAATGCTGTGGAGAGAGCATTAACCACCGCTCACATGCGTTTAACAGTGAATGTTTCAAAACGATTCCCAAAAGATTTTGCAAGGTGAACAAGAAAATGCGCAAGAACTTTTCTGACAACCTAATAATAAGTATTGGCGTCAGATGCGTGCCACCGCAGCTCACAACGTAAGTGAACGACTGTTCGCGAGCGCATGCTGTAGGAATTAGCCAAGGGTAAAGTTTTTAGAATGTGCTTATATTTATTTCTTTATTGATCATTGATGTCGGGCCATGAAGGACCATCTTACAGAAGAAATAGCGATCAACTGTGCTGTCAGTAGGCAGCCGAATACTTGAAAAGTAAAAATACGGTAGCGACAATAATTGCGGATAAAAGATATATGTATGAGTAGTAAAAGAGATAAAAAATCTCCCGGGCTGCCGGCTGGTCTAAATGTCGCTCATTTCAGCCTATACGCGAAGATCTTTTTTAATTGTGCTGTACTTTTAGTACCAAATTTTTTTTTAACAACTTGGAATAATCACAACTGAGACCTTGAAGTAAAAACATGGCTTGTAACTTGTCCACTAGGTGTAATGGGAAGTTTGTTTTTCTCCCTTGTATTCGTGTGTAAATTGTAAAGAAATCTTCATATTTGACATTGACTTTCCCTGTGAGCATTTTGAAAACAGTTATCAAGTCAAACATCCTTTTCTATACAGAAGAGAGTCAATTCCTAACATTTTGTTCCTAATAACCCCTCGCGCTTGGTTTAGTTACGGAAGTGCATTAGAAGTTTCTGTGAAAATTTTTGAACGCTCTCAAAGTTTCCTAATAATTCTTTACGAATGTGAAGAAATGCAAGTCCGTATTCTGTATATAGGCAAGACATAAGTTTTTGTAGTATGCCTTGAAGACCATGGATTTTAATAAACAAATCCCATGAGATAATTGTGCGCGTATTCGCTTACATGCGATATTGACATCAGTAGTCGCGGCAAAGTCAAGATGCGAGATGGACAGAAGATTTTTCATCGCTAGGGGGAGACCCCAGACCTTGGACTAGCACTCACAGTGTTAATTGCTTCCTGAACTTTAGTTGAATCATCTGAGGAGGAAACCGCTTTATAGATCTTCAAATCGTCAGCAAACGCTTTGCAAACAACACCTGAGCTTCCGTAGAACTGGGGAGCTCATATGTGTAAATATTATACAACCTGGGCGAGACATTCTTTGAGACCATGCAATGCTAAAGCTGAGAATAACCCACCTTATACCTCAGAAAGTGTTTTAAAGTAATAAAGTTCGTACTGATATTCCCGATTTTCAGATCACCATACATATGAATGTATCTAATGTATCTAGTCGACCTTGTGTAAGCGCTCTGCACATGGGGTTTCAAAAAACCTTATCGACATTTCCAAGTTTATTCTGATTGACTTCTGTTCTTTTAAGTGGAATTTAATTCTTCATGATTGCTTGTAAGCTCCGTTTTCATATGCCATACAAGAGATATTTTTGTTTACTTCTATAGAATTCTACTATTATTATTTCCAAGCTAAAAGTCGTATAACTGATAAAGTTGAAGCACTGCCTGTGATTATACTAGTTCCAGCGCTACTGTACTGGGGAGGGTGAGGAGGGGGGAGGGAGGGCGCACATTGGCGTGTTTGGCGTTGAAAGCTTGCGTGCTGAGCACGCAATACATTTGAAAACGAAGTGTGACTAGACAAACGTGACCAGTTCATGTGCCTACCTTCCCGAAAGCCCATGCATTCATGCCCATTCAGAACAGTAGTAGCATATCCATGCAATTCGGCCCACACAATGATTTTCGCCTTCAACCGATGAATTGCAGTTTTGTTCCAACAGTCTGGTATGAAGCAATATAACAGACAGATATATAGGAACCATGACTCGTAGGATCTCTCTTGAGAGCTGACTTCCGGACCGTGAGCGTGGTGCGACCACTTACATCACACCACCTTCTTCACAAAGTCCTGATTTCGGTTTAATCTCGCTTCACTATAAGCAGTCGAACAACAAAAAAAACGCTTTGGTAGAAAACGTTCCATGGCACTAGGTCTCAGATCACTGCGCTTGCTGAAGTTAGGTGAAGCCTTTCAAATATTCAAACGCTTATTTGAAAAGTTTGTATTCATAATTTTTTGAATCCATTCTTGCCACTAGGATTTCTTCATTCAGTCCTACATATTTTGTAACAGTTCGTTGCTTCATGAAAATTGTTCATGTTCGAGGTAACGCAAAACGCAAGAGAAACTCGAAACAGGACCATGCTCAGGACGCGCGGTTAGAAGGGAGTGGGCGTATTTGGCCCGCTGGCAGTGAAAATGTCAAAAAGCAGAAAGTGCTCGCAGTGCCACGAAAAATTTACGTGAAAAAAGGAATGTATCTGAAACCCTTCAATCTTCTGTCGTAAAATTATGAAACCAACTTTTATCAAGTTTTAATGATAGAACACAAGTGAAATCAAACATGCCTGGATATTCAGAAATTGTTCAAAAAAAATTGTGACAAATTGCTAAACATAAAAACGGCAGAATCTCTTCTAGATGAAGTGAGGTTTCCATTCAGAGCTTCCACTTCATCATTTCTTCTACGACTGGATCAGTAAGCTTGGCGTTGATAATCTTCTCACTGTGTATGTTGTGTGATGAATACCACGCTGACTGGCAAACGTAGTGTGCGACGCGAATACAGAATTTCAAAAGCGGCTCACATTTTTCGTGGAAAACATCTTCAGTGAGGTTGACATCTTCAAAGAACTCTGAAATTTTAAGTTGCAATAGTTTGGCTCATTTTTTTCAGCAAGAGATGTTGGACGATAAAAATAAATGCCGGGAAATCGGTACTATGAAGTTCGACCAGGAGTATTGGCTGAGTTCCCCACTGGTAGAGTCGCAAGACTTGGCCAAAAAGCTTCTTACAAAGCCGGTGGGTCCTAGTGGCGGAGCTATCCACTACATCCTAATTCTAGGAAAGCTCGACAGGGCGCTTATCATGTAAGACCGTGGCTTACTTGGAGCTTCTGTGCTCGAAGCCCGAGTAATACTAGAATTTTTCCTCGTATATCGTCATTCAAAAACAGCATCATCCAAGCGTTGATATACGAGAAGAAGCAGCTGATCCATAGGGAACACGATTCTCATCGTAAATATGGGACCATCCTGAAAATACTCGCTTCACTTCTTAAACAAACGGCGTAATCACTTTCATATTCAACTACTGGTGGTCATATGACGGGAACTTGTGGATGACACTTCGTAGTGCTAACGCTTTCCTTGCAACTCACATTGGAGCTCAGCGAGAACTTTAAGTGCATCATATTGTAAATAAGGAGAAGCACAAATCCAAAAAGAGTCCTAGCATTTGAAGGTATAGGCGGCGCTCTTGTTTTACAGCCCTAAAAATTTTAGGAAGACATGACTAATCAGTTTTTCGATGGTCAATAAAATTGATTGGACTAACGTGCTGCCACTGTATCGGTTTTTCACAAGAAACCTCAGTATAGCTCCGTAGCATAAACTGCACAGAACGAACGTGATAGAGACGAAAACGCGGCCAGTTTAGAAGTTGGCTAACTATAAATGGGGAAACAGGCACTTAGAGCTGGAGGACGATATTGTTCAACAACCGTTTTGTTACTTCGGGAGCGCCAGGACCTCTCTCATTACTCTACTCCTCGTCGCAATTATGAGGTCAACACGCCGTGAAGAGATTGACAATGAATAAAAAGTATACCTTGGATAGAGGGAATCACTTTGCGATTATGACATTACGTTGGAATACAACCTCAACACTAATTTGAAACTTGCACTTTTGACGGTTGGCGCTCGCTGGAGTGATACTATATAACGGCTTGGAGTGGCTTAGGTTCCTAGGATGGCCAAAATATAGGTGTGGTACCTTACTGTGGCTTACCGTGGTTTGATTAAGTAGTCAGTTTTACGCCTCTCCTCTATCCCTCGCCTCTGTCTCTCCTTCTGCTGCCACGGCAGCACCTTGTGGAATGGATGTGGGTGATGGCCCGGTGGAAAATATACTGTTATTAATAATCATGCCGTCACTGGCATGTGATACCGCTAGGCTTGCCTGAGTTTTGTTTGGGCGGTTTTGGTTGACTCCTTACCATTTTATTATTGAGCAGACGAATAAAATTATACGAAGCACGACACACCGGCACACTTGCGTGTCGTCACACCGGAAGGAGTATACACTGTCAAATCGACACACTAAGTTTGCGGCTTATCTTCATCACCGTTACTTACGGTGATTGACTGTCTTTCTACAATCACTTCGAGGTTTTGCAAAGAGTGAAAGGTGGCATGGGTCAGAAGAAGAAGCGGAATGGAATAGACTGAAGGCACTGCCCATTGTACGATCGGCATTGCCCATCGGTGAGAAACGTTATGAAACTGAAAAAAACGGTTTTTTTTCTTTCTCACAAAATCTGACAAATGAACTCATCAGGTATGAACCGGAATTCAGAGCTACCTGTTCTAGGCGAGAACCGTTTCTGCACAACGAAATGTACCGCTGAAAAGTGATCAGCAGAACTCCGAAACATCGTATAAAAACTGATATATAGGTCTGATTGAAAGCCCATGTAGCAACATAGTAATCTTGATAATCCCAGTAGAAGTTGTCGAACAACTGTGCTACGCGTAGAGTCCAGAACAGGAAATAGTTAAGCATCACCACAATATCCACGATGCCCTGTAAAAGCTTATAAATTGCATTGTTTTGTTCGGTTACAAATTTCACCCAGCAGTTTCAGTTTTAGCTTGCTTCGAGCCTATTCACAATCAACTCAGTCACATTGCCCAGCATTGGCCCCTCTCTAGTTAAAGAACTCAAGCTTGACTGCAGAATTGAATTAATTCACTCATCGCAGAATAGTTTAGAATTCATATTGTTACTGGACTCCGCATTTTACAGGATCACATCTTCAAAAAAGTTCACACTCCAAATTTCATGAGTATAGTAGTTAATCACAGTAGTATCAAAAAAATTTAAATGATTTTTGTTCGCGAAACAATTGTGTAGCTGTGAAAATGTAGTGCGAACGCTACTAGCAATTCGAACTGCAATTATCCACTTGATTGAGTACGGTATTCGGTCTTGGGGCCCTTGAACTAGGAGCTTACGTAACAACAAGTAAAATCACAAGAGTGAAAAGGGACGAATTGCGTTGCGTAGTACCTGCGAAACGATAAGCAAGTAAAATGTTCTTCGTGTATGGTTATGTTTCCATTCCTTTACACAAATAACGATGATGGTTACGTAGAGTGGAAGTGAAACCGCGTTGATTGAAATAAATATCCATTGCGACCACATAGGAATCATTATCGCTGAGATCTATAATAGAAGTGTGTTCAGTTTAGATGTGATCACTTACTTTCAACAAAAGAGTTGAGTCCAACCTTCTCTAAGTACAGAGGTGTTCCACAAGTTCCTTCACTGTTTTTATTTTCAAAACAACGGCATATCTCTTGGAACTATTATTATTATCGAAACTATTACTAACTCACCCAATCAATCAATTACTCGTTCGTCGACATGGAGTCGATTAAATACTATAATTCACCACCATACATACATCTTTGACTTCACACCATCGTCTGTAAAGGTACGAGTTGAAAGTATATTATAAAGGGGATCATACCGTAATGTAGTGAACCTAGAAAGGTTTTAGCCAGGCTCATACTAACGCAAATCGATAAAATTTAAGGGAGGAGATCTCATCACGAGGATTGGAGAAAACGCCAAATGAAAAGGTTCTACTTCAACTGGAAAACCTAGGGGTGAAGAACAGAAAATCAAACTCGTT